GCACTGCCAAGAAGCAGATGCTTTCTTGAAACTCGAGCAGCGTAGAATGTGTAAATATGTATATAAACATGGGACTCTACCCTTTCGGAATTTTACATTGCGCCCCTTCGATCTCCACAACATTTGCCCTTTATAGAGCCTCACCGGCCAGCATGCCGAGGCCCGGCTTCTTCAGGGCCTTGGCGGCCTCTCCTGTAGCTCCTTGGGCTTTAGGAGCTTAGGGTTTCAGGTTTAGGGTTTCAGGTTTAGGGTTTCAGGTTTAGGGTTTCAGGGTTTCAGGTTTAGGGTTTCAGGTTTAGGGTTTCAGGTTTAGGGTTTCAGGGTTTCAGGGTTTCAGGTTTAGGGTTTCAGGTTTAGTAGATACTGGAATTTCGGCTTAAGGTTTAGGGTTGAGAGAAGGTACTGGGCTTAGGGGCCTAGGGTTTCAGGGCTTTTTTTCTCTCCGTACCTTTTTCCCTTGCGCGAAAGCTTAAGGTTTAGGATTCAGGCTTTCAGTTCAAAGTGTCTACGGCCCTAGGCTTCGGGCTGGGAGTTCTCGGCTTCTCTTTTGTAGGTCTGGTGGGACTTCGTGCTCCCACTACCAAGATGCCAGCAGCAGTACGGCAAGGACTCTGACGCTGCGATCTTCATCAAATACTACTGCAATCATCTCCGCACTTGTACTTCACCATAGCCGCGTTTGGGGGCCGGCGGGTGCAGCCCAAAGGATGTTTGGGACAGCATGCGTCTGAAGTTCAATGATGCCCCAGGTGTGGGATACCGAGCTCGCCAAGTATGATGACCGCGGCATTTCAGAAGTTGGTGGCTCAAGTCTTCAGTCTGTTCCGAACTGCAATGCCGCTCTCCCTTGCAGTGGCACGTGGAAAAGCCCGAAAGCTGCTCACGTTGGCTCCTCTCTTCTCTTTCCTATACTTGCAAACGAATCGAAACGTTTCTCCACCGCCTGGAAATACAAAGACAGAGTCTCGGCTTGATAGTAAGGCTCCTCGAAACACCACGAGTTTATAGATACGCCTCTGGAACCTCATTTCAACTCTTAAAACTGTGACACCCTCAACCTCTGGATGCTTCAGGCCTGTAAGCGCTGAATTAGATCCGCGAACCCAACAGCCCACCCAAGCAGCCGGCTGGGTCCCACATCTTCCGGGGCGGACTTCTCCTCCTGCACAAGTGTAGGGCCAAGGGCGACAGCAGTTGCAAAGGAGCGATTCGGTTGACTCGACACCTATGCGCTCAACCGCTTCAGGAAGCAGGAAACTTATCTCGACACAGGCCGCTTACGTGCAAACCAGACATCAAACACCTGTCATCCGGTCCGGTATGGTACACAAGCAATGCCCGACCGACACCATCAATCTTCAGTTCGGGACTATCAAAGCAGCTCGCACTACAAATGCGCTCTCAAACCTCGAAGAAGCCACTTGCACTCTCAAACCCTCTCCACCTTGCCAGGCGTAGGCATCTTGGGGCTGGAGACACGCTGCCTGAGGCTTTGGTGTGCCGAAAACCGAATGTCACATCTGCGTCCAAAACCCTCAACTCCCGCAGAGTCTTGCTCTCAAGTGGGGCAATGTTCGGGCTCTGTCCCTGTTCCACTACCAGCACCACCGCCACCACCAGCACTGGCGTCAGCATCGGTCTGCCAGCACCCGCCACCACGACCTCCAAACAAGCTCGGCCCTCGATGTTCCCTTCCCGCCAAGCTCCCGGCCCAGGCTCCTCCCGATTTGCAGCGACTGCACCTGCACTTCAGAAGGCTTCCGATCTTCGGGCTGCAGGCTTGAGATCCGGCTGCATGGGCTGCGAATCTCAAGTGTTACTTCGAGCCCCGAAGCTGGCACAAAAAGAATCGGGATCATGACCGATTCCTTTGCGAAAGTCCGCATGAGCTGAGCTTCAGGCCTGCAACGGCCTCCAGGCGCAACTTTCGCGGCTGCTCCTTGGGTCTTCAGGGCGCGCTTCGATTCTGTCTCGGAGGTGCGTGATGAGCGAGATGAAAGAAAAATCTAGCTCTGACCTCCGCGATGTATGAACAGAGGATAAATACCACTGCCAGCTACCACCGGAAGCATGAGTCCCGCATCTGCAGAACCGAGCAGTCTTCTGGCTCTAGGTTCGGACGGAACTCCGATCATGATCAAAAAACCTATAATAAACCCCCGTCCCCCAAACTCAGTCGCAAACCTTCGACCCCGGTCCAATCCTACGTCTTACGAGCCCTCAGGCAGCGGCAACGACTTCACGCCAGGATGCCTGCACGGAAGGCTTGGTCTGAATCTCTGTTTCGCTCTTCTCGCCGCGAGCCGACAGCACGGGCCCTGAGCCGATTTCAGGCTCGCCTGCGCTGCCTGGGTTGTGTTTTCTTCAGTCGGAGTCAGTGGGTCAAGGCCTCGAAACTTCTGGCAACTGCGCTGGCGCTGCTGCGCTGATTGATGTAATAACAGTGACACCTGTTCGACCCGTACTGATGGTTGATGCTTAATTCCTGGCCAGCTTAATCTGCATTCGGCCTCACACGATTGCAAAGTGATACCGGCACTTCGAAACACGTGCTGCTATAGGCTGATGGCATTCGGGCTGTAGAGGGTGGCCGACAAGACTTGAATAGAACTCTCCCGAAAGCCACACGGATTGCATCCTCCTCGACCAAGCCCGTAGCAAAAATTCAACCCACGACTGTAAACCTGTCGAACCCATGCAAGGAAAGAGAAGAAACCTCCAGGGATCCGCTGAAGTCCTCGAGGCAACGGGAGCAGTCACCATTTAGTGCAACAGGACGTTTGGAGCATCGTGGCAACTAGTGTTGGCATGATGTCGGTGATGGTGACGATGATAATGAGCGATGATGGGCGATGACAACAATAACGGTAGCCATGATGGTGGTGACGATGATGGCCAGGACCGTCTTCACAGCATCATTGTGATAGCAATCAGCAGAATCAGGAGCAGGAGCAGCAGAAGCAGCAGCAGCAGCAAAAGCAGCAGAGGCAGCAGAATCAGCAGTAGCGGTAGCGGCAGCAATAGCACTAGCAGGAAAAGCGGCAGTAGTAGTGTTGGTAGCCCTGGTAGAAATAATCGCAGTACTAGCAGTAGCAACAGGAAACGCCGCAGTAGGACTGGTGGCAGTAGTAGCAAAAGCAGCACTAGAAGCAGCAGGAGTAAGAGTAAGAATAGCAGCAGCAGAAGCAGCAGCCGGTTTAGGGTTCAGGGTTTAGGGTTCGGAGCAGTAGCGGTAGCAGTAGCAGTAGCAGTAGTAGTCGTACTACTACTACTACTACTACTACTACTACCACTACTACTACTACTACTGTAGTGGTAGTAGTGGTAGTAGTTGTGGTGGTAGTAGTAG